GTATGCGAAATCAGCCACCAGGGCCAGCTTTATTGATATGATAAGTAAAAAATAAACTGCATAAATTCTATCTCAATTATTGCTAAAAACACTGTAAATTTTATTATTTATTGACTTGCTAATATCAATGCCATTAAAAATAACTCTCAATCATAAGAGCCTGAAGAATATACTTTATCAAATAATAAATATATATATTAAGATCACTCGACTAATTTCTACCTCAAAATAAATTCTATAATAAATCGAAAATTAAAATTTTCGGCCGAAATTCATAATTAATGGAACAGGTAATAAATATTTTAATTCTCATAAATAAAACCAAGAGAGATAGACATTCAATATTCCCAAAACAATTAACCCGAGGATTCTTTTATTATTAGATCATTAAAAAAATTATATTAGATATACACACAGCTTGTTATACTGATTTTTCCTACTTTATCATCAAATACTATGCTAACTAATCATTCGGACCCCATACCCAAATATTTAGTTTTTAATGATTTTAACCAATAAATGTTGTGCTTCTGATCCAGTTTCTTTCTATCTTCAGCCCCTGGTGGCCAATAATATTTTTATGGTTCATGAAAGAAGGATAGCACTCGATTTCTTCTTTACCGGCCCAGTCGAAATCTATTAACATTCCTTGATACTGATCTTGAGATTTGTTAACCAAAATATTGGAATCACAAAGGTTAGCAAACACAATATTTTCATCATGCAATTTGTTGATAGCTTCTTCAATATTCCCTAAAATTGTTTTATATTTATCATGACTAAGCGAGTCGCAATAATAAAGTGGTACTGTCTCAATATAATCCATCACTACCATATAAAAACCATCCACTATCTCTTTGTTAATGTATAGTAGTTTGGGCGCCTTTCCAATTTCACCACACAGTTCGTGTGCCCTCTGATTATATTGTCACATAAATTTAACAATAATTTTTCGTCCATTTTTTGTTACAGCTTTCTAAAGAAGCTTGTGATCTAAAAGTTTTCCTTCATATATAAACTCTACAGTTGTATCTTGATACACGTATTGATTCGGGTAGGGAAAAAATCACTGTAAATTTTGTCGATTTATAGGCATATCTAATGATAAATAATATTCCTTTAATCTATTTACTCCCAAATATAGAGCTTTGAAAAGTCATGCTACTCGCTTTGAAAAGTCATGCTACTCGCTTTGCGTGGGCTCGATTGTTTGTAGGAATGAGAGGTATAAAGTCCATCAAGGGATCTATAATCGGTTTCTCAATATATACTGCTCCTAAAATATACACCCATGGCCCAGCTAAACATAAGATAAAAGAAGGCCAGTTACACCATTTGAGTACTTCCCCATATGTTTGTTGGGTATAGTATTTTGCAAAAGAAGCTCTAGCTTGAACAGTCGGATCACTGCTACTAGTGCCAATTTCATTTTTTATCTCAACAAGAAAGCGTAAAACACTTTTTGAAAAGACGTGACACTCCAATACTCCATTTGAAGAATTATCTTCTAGATAAATTATTCTTAAATCCTCACCAAATAATTTGCAAATTTTTTCTCTAAACACTATAGAATGATCAGCTTCACTGAGGTATATTTTTACCATTTCATTAATAAACTCAAAGGTCCATTGATAATACTCTCTCCCCATTTCTAGATCTTCATTACGGTAATTACGCAGGAACTGACTGAAAACGTTGTGGTAAATTTGTACTGGCGGACCAACGCATTCTGGGGAATGGTGAATAAGTAACTGCTTATCTTTAACGTGATGGTCAATAAGATTATTAAGAAGTGCGAAAGATGACGGGGGAGGATAGCTCCTAATCTTCTTTATGTTTTTTTGCTGTTCTGTAAAGGTTGGGAAAGGTTAGTTGATACAATAAAGGTTTTGCAGAAGCAGGCATGCTCTATACAGCTAACCTTCTTCATAATTATCCAGGTTGGAAAAATGTCGCTTAGTAGCTGATGAAGATCTACATTGCAAACATTATTAGTTATATTGAAAGTGCTCAACCATAATAATTTATATACTATAAACAGATTCTCTTACGAGGTTGCAAGCTTCTCTCTCTGAAGCACTGTTAGCTTTTCTTCCAATTCTTTTATCTTCTGATCTTTTGCATCCGTATCTGTGCAATAAATGAGGCACAAGTTAATAAATGAAATTATTGCAGAGAAAGCAGTATAGGTTTGGAATATTCGAATGCAGTCGTACTACTAATGATGTGCCACGTACTGTACTATATGTACTGTACTGTACGTACTGTACGTACTGTATGCTAAAATTTTGACAGTCATTTTATAAGCTCTGAAGTTTAGGCCATAAAACTTATAAGTTTCTAAATATTCTGAACCTATTACGGAACATTTCAAAATTACGGCATAAAAAAATATTTACTATACGTACTATACGTACTGTACGAACTATATGTACTATATGTACTGTACGCTAAAAAAATCTGAGTATCATATAAATGGCACATCACTATGAATAACATACCTTTTTTTTTATCAGATATCTTGACTGGATTATCAATCAAACATTTTTGTTGTTTAAGGAAGTCAATAATTTGCATTTTTGACCAACCAAAATTCATTTCTTTATTACCAACAATGAACTTGTAATTTTCCAATGGACCCACAAAATTGATGTGATTTTTTAAATAGTCATATAGTTGACCAAAATCCTCCTAAACACCAGAGCTAAGATAATGAACATCCGAATCAAGGTACTAAAAGTATAAGGAGGCTAAAAGCAAAATTGTAAGTTTTGTAAATGATATTACAATATAATAAAATGAGGAAACTAAAATATTTATAGTACTTACTAGTATCTGTATAATAAATATGAGGCCCAAGTTAATAAATGAAATTATTGCGAAGAAAGCAGTATAGATTTGGAATATTCGAATGCAGTCATGGTACTACTTACTCTGATCCTCACTCTTAATATCTCTAATCTATCGCTCGATTTGTTTAGCTAGTTCTATTTTAAACCCAGCTTTCATGAGTTCTTCCACATTAAATTCAAGGATTGCTAGACCAATAATCTCTTCATCACGAATAATTTTGAAATGATGGTCTTGAAGGCCCAGGTCTTCTTGTTCGCGTAAAAAATTGATTAGATCTTCCGTTTTTTTATATCTCTTCATTAAGTCGATTATTGGAATAGAAATAGACATAGTGAGTTTGATAAAGAAGTTGTACAATCACACAAATCCAATAAGCACAAAGAAAAAAAAATTTTTTTTTAATAAGAAATAGTCATACATCACCCTTTTATATAGTTTATACAAACAATCAGATTGTCATACAACAGGTCACATATTGTTATATAATAAAATAACAATATTGATATTGTATTTTTAATAAATCACGGTCATTACGTAAGTTCTTGACGGAAATTTATTTTTATTATATTTATAATTATTCGAAGATATAATAGATGAGTTAGGAACTTGAAATAGTGAAGTTTTCACTTATCTCTTCTCTTATTAAACTGTCACATTCACATTGTCTATATATTCCATCCACTACTTTTTGCATATTTTGCAATATAGGTGTAAATGATGATTGCATTCATCACAAACCTTACACCCACGCTTCCACCCTTTAAAGATATACTACTTTTCGATATAATTTTGTTTGTTTTTATTTGTAAGTATACTATATCCTTTCATTGTTATATATTGACAGAAAAAAAATATGTGGCTAGTGGTCATGAATCTATAATTCAAAATTTTTATACAAACCTGTACTTTGTATTCTAACAAATAACTTATACATTATGATAAGCCTTGTAAGGCTAAGATTCCTGCATGCATAGAGGCTCATATAAATACTGACACCTGAGACAAAATATTAATGATAACAGAAAAAAAATACTATCATACAATATTTGAGGTAAAATTTGTCTTTTTAGTTAGTTAAATAAATCGATTAGTTACATGATATAAAAAATATAAGTTAAGGCGCAGTAGTCACGTGATGATCACATGTGGGACCTGCAGTCTTACACATGACTAAAGTAGTTTTTTATAGTTTGGATTTGTGTAGTAGTAAGCTTTGAAATCATATTTGCACCATAGGTTCTGATTTATTTGATTTTATTTATTCCAATCTTTTGGAATAACTTGTAAATCTTTATAGCTCTTTGTGTTTTTTTACACGAATTATCCTTCGCATTTTCCAGAATAAGATGTTGTGTCATTTCATTATAAACCCAGTTTCTAGCAGTTTGATCACTAACCCCCCTCTTATTTTTCACAATATTATTGATTTTCTCCTCATATCCTTTCCCATAATGGTACTAACATGAAATTTCCTCTTGATTTGCCTTCATCACATGCATTTCTGCACTACATACTTTTTGGTATAAACGAACTAAATTTTTTGATATAGAATTCTCAGAACCATAATGCTTTGTTTACAGAGTTATAGTCTTTGTGTACTAGATGGAATTTACCAGAAGCATTTGCAAATTCTTCTCTAATTGTTTCAATAGATTCGGGGCAAACTGAGCATTTGAGGCTTCATGATTCTGTGCATATAATATGTTTTTCAAGGCAGGTTTAGTAGAATATATGATCACAAGATAATATTGTGAATGCTTGGAGTGGATGTGTTAGAATTTTTCCTTTGCAGATATGATATAAATTTAGCTTTGGAATATTCTTAGCATCAGGAATTTCAGATATATTTTCATTTCTTAGATAATTTAATGAAAGCACTTTGAGTTGGAAAGCATTAACATTGTCTGTATGATCATCTGTTGAACTTGGCAAAGTTTCACTAGCCATATTGGTAAATTTGAATAGGAGTCAATTGTTAAAACTTTGAAAGCTAAGTATTTTTTATTTTATATATAGACACTTTCACAACTAAAAAAAAAATAATTTACAAATTTTATAAAAACCAATTTTGGATTTGACAATCTGTTCATTCAAGAATTATTTAGTATAAACCAAGAATTGATCGATCTACTGGCGATCGTAAACAAGTTACATATTACCAATTTACAAACTAATTTAGAATTTGGTAATCTGTTCATTCACAAATTATTTAGTATGGACTAGGATCACTCAATCTACTAGCAATCGTGAACAATTTACAAATTAGTAATATGTTAACCAAATGAAATAAAGCAATGATAATTCGATTTGGACAAAAAAACTGGGACCACTTGATCTTCACTGGCTATTATGAATGATTCACAAATTAGAGACGCAAACTTCTATTTTTATCTTATTCTAATACTGGGGACATTGAGTAATACTAATTCAAAGATTTATAATATGTATTATACTGGAACTTTCTGGAAAAAAGTTAAGAGATTAATTATTTATTGATTGCAGAATTAATATCAAACCTGTCTTGTGATCTACTGATTTTTTGTTGCACAAGAGTACATGCATTGTAGCTTAGCAAAAAAATCTTCCAAGCTGATAAGCTATATTCTGGGTTGATGTAATAACTATTCACTACTCCAGAGTGTTGGATTAGTTAGATCAGTAGAGTACTATTGCTCGGCCAAAGAGCATTGTGTTAATTCTTAATTGAGAAATGCAAAAATAAAATTATTATTAGCACCACCATTCTGTCTAAGAAAATCACTAAATGTGCTAATAAAATCATTTGGGCTATCAGGTGAGCCCATAATCATCGGAGAAAAAAGATTATTATAATAGGTAACTTTATTCTCTGACTCAGAACTAGATGATTTGGACTTTGATTCGGTTTCAGAGCTAGAAGACTCTGAATCAGAACAGTAGTAATCTTCATCAAAACTTTCTATATGAATATTTGGATTTAGCTGATACATAGTTTTTTTGCTAACATTTTTGCAGTTTTCAAAATCTAGAAATTTTAAACTGAGACATAAACAAGCAATTTCTTTGATAGTTACATTAGAAATTTCACAAAAGCTGAGATTAAGATGCTGAAGTTTTGGGCAGGAATGAATAATATTACAAATTGATGGTTCGCTAACAAATGAATAGCAACTTAGATCAAGATATTCTAATTTATGATATGTATGGGCTAGTGCTTCAGTAACCTCATCACCAATATCATTACTACCAATCTCTAGATGTCTTAAATTTGGAGATGCCCTGATGATTGCTACAATTAATGCATCATTACGAAAGCCATGACACTACTAAAGACAAAAAACTCTATACTAAGACATCTCTGTATTAACATACTAGCATCTTTAATTTTCCCCTTGCTAAATGCAATATCAAGATTTTGTAAATTTGGGCATGAGTTTATGATGCAACATATAGATTTATCTGTGATCCAATATGCTTCAGCAAAATAGAACTCTTGCAAATCATAACAATTTTCTGCGATTTTAAACAAAGATTTATTAGTAATATTTTTGCAGTACGAAATATTTAGATGTTCTAATTTATATAATTATACAATTGCACATAAGCCTTTATCAGATATTGCTTGAGCATTCCACAGATTGAGATATCTCAAATTAAGATATGCTTTTGCTATTATAGATAACACTTTATTGCTAAAACCTACACTATCTTTAAAATCTAAATGAATTATATTTGGAAAGGTAACCACAATATCTTTTATTTTGTTATCTGATAGTGAATGGTAATAAGTAATTTCTAGATAAGTTACATTCAAGATACAAGCTGGCTTACGCTTTTCATTCATTATTCTTATCTCTTAAATTGTAACACAAGCAAATTTGCCTGTGTTTTTATTAAAAAGTTTAATTTTTTTAATAAAAACTTATATATTA